GGCTTGAGGAAATAGTCTTTGCCAGTGAAAGAAGAAGGGAGATCCATAGAGACCATGGAAAATAGACCCATTTGTTGTATATTCCCTTGTCATTGCTCAGATCATTTGTAAGAGATAACATTTATTGGGCACCAGATGCTGGGCTGAAGGCTTTGCATATGCCATCTCATTTAATCTTCCTCATAGTCTTAAGAGCTTTTTTACAAGTATTCTCTAAGCCTCTAACTAACTTGCTATGTTACTTTTCACATAGGTTGTGAAGGAAAATTCAAAACCTATATTATTAAAAAAACAAACAAGAAATTATTATTTTTTCAAGAACAGATAAGATTGGGTATATTCAGGGCAGTATGGCCAGAGACTGAAATTATTATTTTTAAGAGCTAAATTATGAGCCAAACATGACTTTTCATGTATTCAATGCCTAAATTTTATCTTTAGAGTTTTAGAGACATGAATAACAAGTATGGACTGGGAGTAGTTAGAAAAACATCTTCATGAATGAGTTGGGTCCAGAAGTAGGAATAGAATTTGCATAAAACAAGAATGGAATTTCCCTCAAATTCATCCAACTTGAGGGAAATTGATCAACATAAGTCATGCCATAGAGACAAAGATCAGCTTTCCAAAGAGTATATTGTGATCAACTGACTTACAAATAAGTATCATTTTAACTTAATAGTTTATAGAGATGAGTAGAAGGAATCTAATTTATTTAGCCCTTGAAAAGTCAAGGAAAGAAATTTAAACTTTTCATGTTAGGCAAGTGAGATATTGAGCAGTAGAAAAACAGAGCTTTGGAAAGGGGATTAGCATGATAAAACAGTATTTGAATAGCACCAATCTGGAATTATATGTGGTCATTAGACAAGCAGGCCATGAAGTTTTAGAAACCTGGAATCTAGATATTAAGTAGAAAAGGCAGGGGTCAGAGAGATGATAATGGCAAAGAAGTGGAATTGAACCCCAGAGAAAAATGGTCTGAGCTATCTGACTGGACGTGAAGGATAAGAGCATAGTATGTGTTTTAGAAATATTCTCGGGTTTGTGTTTCCCCGTCTCCCCTACCCCGACTACCTCTCTGTCTGTCTGTCTCTCTTCCCAAGACCCTCCCAGCTTCTCCACAGATGAGCTTTTATTGGGATCAGGGACCACTGGTTAGGAAATACTGTTTTTGTCTAGGGCTTCCCTGCTGGCTTAGAGGGGGTAAAGTGTCTGTCTGCAATGTGGGAGACCCAGGTTTAATCCCCAGGTCAGGAAGATCCGCTCGAGAAGGAAATGGCAACCCACTCCAGTACTCTTACCTGGAAAATTCCATGGACAGAGGAGTCTGGTAAGCTACAGTCCATGGGATTGCAAAGTGTAAGAACTTAAGGTTTTCAAATGGTTTGGAAAAGTATTTTTGAGGGGAATCTGTTTCATAATCCTAGTAATATGTCTGTTCTGTTTAAATAACTAAATTTGAGCATTCTGTGTTGCTTTATACAAGGGCTTTTCTAATTAATAGCGGAAGTACAGCCCGATATAACTAAGGATACCAGTCTATTCTCTTACCTAGGGTTAACTCGAAAGAACCCGCACTGAACCCCTACTGATCTTTTCTTGCCCTCGCAAACACCAGGAGGGGTTTGACTCTCTGGTTATTATTCTTTTGTTCAATTCCTAAATCATGTCCAACTCTTTCTGACTCCATAAACTGCAGCACACCAGGCTTCCTAGATCTTAATAAGTTTTTTTTTGCCCAGGATGAGGCTGAGAAAGTGAAAACATAAAAGCAAAGTACCCCATGATTGAGAGGCCACGTAGTACTACAAGTCTGGAAAAGTGAATTGTTGAAAGCCATTTAATTTATACCCTTCGTTATGTTACACGCTGAGTCACGCACTATGTCCCCAAGATGTATAGTCTCATCTTGGCCCTTAAATGGTGGATAATTTTATTGCTTATCTTAACGTTGTTAGAGCATACAGAAATTTTGTCATGAGAGCTTTTAGAAATTCTTTTAGGCCCTCTATATTTATCATAGAACTTTATATTTCAAGTTTCTTTTTGCTCTTTCCTCCTTTATGAGTCCCTTAATAATATATGCATCAAGATTTAGCTAGCAGGACTTCCCTAGTGGTCTAGTGGTTAAGACTCCACACTTCCACCACAGGGGACTTGGGTTCAAACTCTAGTCAGGGAAGTTCAAATGCTGTGCAGTGTGGCCAAAGAAAAAAATGAACGTGAAGATTTAGCTAAGATACTCAATTGGTAGTGGTAGTTTAGTCATTAAGTCATGGCTGACTCTTGTGACCCCATGGCCTATAGCCTGCCAAGCTCCTCTGTCCATAGAATTTTCCTGGCAAGAATACTTGAAGTGAGTGAAGTCGCTCAGTCACGTCCAACTCTTTGTGACCCCATGGTCTGTAGCCCACCAGGCTCCTCTGTCCATGGGATTTTCCAGGCAAAGGTGCTAGAGTGGGTTGCCATTTTCTTCTCCAGGGGATCTTCCCAACCCAGGGATTGAACCCGGGTCTCCTCATTGCAGGCAGACTATTTACCACTAAGCCACCAGGGAAGCCCAGGGAAGCCCAGGGAAGCCGTACATACTCAATTACATATGGTTTATTAAAATGAATTTTAATAAATATGCACTCAAAGGTGACAACAATGTTTTTGTCCTAAGCCTATTTTCTTTTTGACCTATGAGTGGTTTACTTAAACACTAGACATATGATTATTGCTTATTGGTAAAATTAGAAAGCTTTATGAAACTGAACAAAAATCTTAAGGTATAATCAGAAGGTGTGAATGGAATTGGTTTGGCTTAAGCAAAATGTAACATCTGTATCTCACAACTTGATTATAATTTAATGCTTTTAAAATACTTTACCTATTTCTAAATCAATAGTATTATAAATATCTTTCTCCACTTTCACTTTCTTATTCTAAATCAGCTGAATCTCTAAGCCCACCCAATGTTTTCTAATTGCTTATTGTATTTCTCCTATCGGGATATATAAGCATTGTTTATTAACCTATGTTTACTCTGCCTCTAACACTGCACTGCAAGTCCAGAAACCATCTCCTCGGGTAATATTATATATAATTAGAATCAAATGCGTACTAGACTCTGAATACTTCATGAAGAAATGAACTGATGTCATATGAATTTTGCTTAACACTAGTTATATGTATATCTTTCCTTTATTTTCTCATTGAATTAAAATAATCTTTCAAGTCTTAATTGGAAAAGTGTTATTTTTAATTTAAATAGAAGCTAGTTAGCTATAAAATACTACTTGAAATATTTTTCTATGAAATTGACTATTAAGAGATTGTTCCAGAAGACAAATTTTAGCAGTGTATTTTTCAGAAATTATTTTAAAATCACAAACTCCCTAAAGAACCTATTTTAGTGTGGCATCATGATTAAAAGAATGTTATCTGTGGTAGTAGGCAGCTCATGAAAACTACTGTTGTCTGTTTATGGTTAAGATCAGTGATGTGACTCAATGTGTTGATTTTTGCTTCCAGGTTGTCATCCCATGGTCATATCTGAGTTATAGGGCACTTTCAAATTTTTCTAACTTGTTTTCTTATACTAACTATAATTGTGAACATCTATGTATTATTTACTGTTTGAGTAAAGGTTTTCCCTAACCAAGGGATTGCTAGGTTTAAAACTAATAAAAGTTCTTTTTCTAAATCATTCAAGTTACCTATAAATTTTAGAAACTATGAGTGAATATTTAAGAGTTGCATCACTTTAATACCAGGAAATTGCCGAAGGTCTGGATTCTGATGTGGTGTCCCTCCCTACATCTTTTGAGGACACCATCTAATGTGAGGGCCACAGCAGCCTGCAGGATAAGTGTCATTGCTCCTGTTCTACAGAAGGAGCAGGAGCTGACCTCAGAATGAGCGTGCCATGACTGCTTGGCTTCAGGCTCCTTTTCTCTCCTTTGTTCCTCGTTTCTCAAGCAGACAGTGAAATAATGTTGAGATTTCAAAAAGAAAGTTGTAAACTGGAGATATAGTGATAAATTTATAGATTCAATGTGATTTTATTATAAAAAATGTGGTTTTTAATGGAACTGTTGAAATGATTTCTAAGTGTGGTAGACGCATTATTGCATAAGTGTTATCGGACATTTTGCCTTATTTACCCTTACCTGTTTCATAGATACAGGAATTTTTCTAATGTCTGAAGAATTACTGAATTCCTGAGTCAGAATTCCAGAAGAGATTTCTCTTTTACCTGTGTATTTTGCATTGTTTATATAAGTGCTATTCATTCAAAGAAGTAAAATGCAACCTGATGATATAATTTTAAATCACTTAGTAGCCACATTTAAAATATACATATATAAATACACATATATATAAGTAGGTGAAATTAATTTTACTTATATCTTCTATTTAAACTCACATATACAAAATATCATTCCAACATGTAATCAATACTATAAAATTGTGATATATTTACCTTTTCTGGTACTACATGGAGAAGGAAATGGCAACCCACTCCAGTACTCTTGCCTGGAGAATCCCATGGAGGGAGGAGCCTGGCCTGGTAGGCTATAGTCCATAGGGTCGCAAAGAGTAGGACAGGACTGAGCGACTTCACTTCACTTCACTTCTGGTACTACAAAATTGTAATATATTTACCTTTCTAGGTAGTAATTTTCAAAATATGGTATATATCTTATACTCACAGCACATCTCAGTGGAGACTAGCTGTGTTTCAGGTGCTCATTAGCCAGTAGCTAACTGAACAGCATAGGCAGGCCTGTATATTATAAAGAGATATAAATAGATCTGGTCACTGGATCTGCAGCTTGTATGACACTCCCCTGATACAAGGTGTTCCCAAAAATTAACTAGAGGCTTCTTAATTGTAGGAAAGAATTTATTATTTTGTATCATCAAAATTGAAAATACAGAAATGTTTTATATTCTATTCCAAATAAATGAAAATATACCTAACTTGCAAAAGTAAATGTTGTACTTTACAGAGAGGAAGGCCCTGGAAAATATCAAAGAGGGAGTCTTGAAAGTCAAAGAAGAACCATCTAAAATACTCTCTGGAAATAAGTTTCAAGATCGGTATTGTGTTTTACGAGATGGGTACCTCCTCCTTTATAAGGATCTGAAGGTATTTATTTATATACTAGTTGAATATGTGTATATTTTTGTGTGAGTTAACATTCTTATTTCACACCTCTAAGCCCTGTCTCCTGGAGTTCAAGGCCTATAGTAAATAAACTGCATTCAACCTCTGGGATGCTGGCAGAAAGGTAAAATCACATAGTCACTATGTAGAAGTTTTGGGCAGCTTTTAAAACAGTTATTCATTCTGACTCATGATTCAGCAACTCTGTCCCTAGAGCAGTTTTTCAAGAATATTCATAAACAGCTTTATTCATAAAAGCTAAAACCTGGCAACATTCCAAATGTCCATCAATGGGAGAATGACATATTCAGACAACAGAATGCTACTCAGCAATAAAATTGATGAATGTAGCAACATGGGAGGATCTTCAAATCATTTTTGAGTAAAAACAGTTTGACACAAAATAGTACCATATGAGTCTATCCATAAGCCGTTCCAAAGAGAGGCAGAATCCTCTATGGTGATAACAGTCAGAAAGTGTTTGCCTGGGGAATGGAGGAACATTGCTACAGAAGCACAGAGATACAGTCAGTAGGGTATTTTCTAGGGTGACAGAAATAAGTGTTTTGGGTGGTTGTTACATGGGTATATACAGTAACATCTCTACTTCCTTGAGATTCAAGCAATATCCAAGCAGTTATTTTGAATGTGGAGTAACCACAGGACCCCAAGATACTTTTTCCACTGACTTATAAAATTCACTGGAATAAACACTGCTTTCATACTTCAAGTGTATGGTGCTTTACTCTGTTGTGTTTTGGAGATCTATAAAAAAGGACCAGGTAGTAACATGTCATTTAATATTGTTATGAAGGAAGAGTTATTAAATAGCTTTCCAAAGTTACACAGCCCCATTTTGCTGTGGCTTTTATTGAGCTCTCCACACACTGACCACTGTCTTATATGTTCCTCCAGCAAGGAAGCCTTCAGGTGGGCATAAATAAATCTTAGCCTCCTACTTTGTGTATCCATTTAGTGTTCATATTCTTCAAGGACAGCAGGATGTCCAGGCAGAGAGCTAACAAAACAGCATTGAATTCTGCAGCCCTTATCCCTCTCTTCCAAGAGCTGTATTACATACTGGAAATCCCACATTGTTGTTCCTGCTGATAGAGTTGGTGGGGAGTCTGTGTAGGTATCAAGTGATTGTTATCATTTATGATTGTTTGATATCATTATTCACATTCTTCAGTGCAGGAAGAGTGAAGTTTGCAGAAATAAGGCACTTAAGAATTCTAAGTTACGTGAAACAAACACATCACATTTTTTTAAAGACTGATTTATTGCTTTTGTGCTGGGTCTTCGCTGCTGTGTGAGCTTTCTCTAGTTGTACGCAGGATTCTCACTGTGGCGGCTTCTCCTGTTGCCAAGCACAGGCTCTAGATGCTCGGGCCTGGACAATAGTGGCGTGTGGGCTCAACAGTTGAGGCTCGTGAGTTCCAGGGCGCTGGCTCAGTGGCTGTGGCACAAACGCTTAGTTGCTCTGTGGCATGTGGGATCCTCCCGAACTAGGAATCGAACCCGTGTCCCCCATACTGGTGGGTGGATTCTCAACCACTAGACCACCCAGGAAGCCCCCAACACATCACATTTTAAAGTTCATGAACTGTAGGTTTGTGTTTGTGAAAGGAAATGCTAGACCTCACAACTGAAGTTCCAGCCATCTAAGAACTGAATCTGGTTGAATTCTGTTTGGGTTTCTTCAGTGAATCATCCACCTTCATCTTCCTTAGACTCATTTCCTTCATCCCGTTCCTTCCATTTATATGTTGGTTAATGGTCACCTTTGTAGTTGGATATTTACTTAGTGTACTTTAAAATCATCCTGGACTTTTTAGTTTCATTAAGAAACTGACACTCCCACTGTGTAGCAACAGACGGTTCTAAAAACCACTAGTATCAATAGTGCAGTCATAACGGCCCCAACGAACATTCAGGTGGTTAATCCACAAAAAGCAGAGTTCTGTACATTTCACTTTTCTCACTTTATATTTTCAATAATCCTATAAAAGTAGTACTATAATTATCTCCCTTGACAGATGGAGAAATGGACTCTACCAAGGTATTACATAACTTGCTCAGGATCACATAGCCAGTAAGTCACAGAGTCAGAATTCACTCCCTGGTGTCTAATTCTAAAGGTTTTATGCATGGACTCACTAAAGAAAAACATTTGTATTATTTTAGCCTGATGTTTTTTCTGACAGAATTTTACTTAAAGAGGATAGTGTTTTTCATTTTAATAGTACCAAGTATTTTCAAATATGACACTTCATACAGTTCAGTTTCTTATAATGTTTTTCCCCAAGCTGGTGTAAATTTACAAATCTGCCACAAGGAAGCCTGTACATGGAGATTTTTTTTTTTTAGATGAAATGACTTTATAATTGAGTTAAAGAATCTCATCCCTTAACAGAATGATTTTTAAGAATATGTATCTTTTTGAAAGGCTCATTCTGCTTAATCTAAATAATTCACACAAATTGGTCGACAGTAGTAGGACTGAGTGCTCGTCTGAAAGAAGTTCTTTTTTTTTTTGACATTTGAAATATTTTCCCCATGTTTATTGAAGTATAATTAACAAAAATTGCATTGTTATAAAAATATGATGCTTTTGATATACATATACATTGTATATGTATACCACAATCTAAGCTAATTAATTAATGAATTAATAGTCATTACCTCATATAGTTTAGTGTGTATTTGTGGTAAAAGCATTTAAGATCTACTCTCTTCGCAAGTTTCAAGTATACAATACAGTGCTATTAACTGTTGTCACCATGCCATACTTAGATTTCGAGGACCTATTCTTTCTGCATAACTGAAACTTAGTACCCACTTATCAACACTTTCCCTAACTTTTCTCTCAGTCCCAGCCCCTGGAAACCACCGTTCTACTGCCCGCTTCTTTGTGAGTCTGACTTTTTTAGATTCTGTTCAGTACATGTAGATGAGATCATATAGTCTCTCTCAGAAAGAGTGTTCTTTAAAGACACAGAACACATTCTGTTTCTATCACAGTGACCTCAGGTCATGGAATTATAGTGTTAACTGTTTGAAAGTTGCCTTTATGCATCTGTCAGAATCAATTAAAGCAACTGATGGTTTCATTTGCACAGTAAAGCAGGCAGATGAGGGACTTATGGTTTTCCTTTAAACTCAAACCACTATTATTTTCAACATATGGTGTTATTTTGTTGGTTATTTCTGCATGTTGTTGGTCTTACACTTTTAATATTGATGGCCAAGTCATCGGCAATGTTTGCTTTTCAAATGAGTTTACAGTAAATAATCAATAGTAAAAATCCTCAAACTTACCTGAATACAGATTTGGCTCTGGTTTTGACAGTTGCCGTTAATATATGTGTGCTTGTATATATTTAGAAAATGATTTACTGAGAAGGGAGCAGAAATTACAAATTGAAAAGTATATTTAAAGAGACTATGTGTTAATTAGAGATAATTTATGAATGCTCATTAACAACAAATTAGAGTAATACACAGGGGGAGATATAGTTTGAGAGTTTTTCCTGCACAGAAAATATTAATTAAAATGTTTTCAGACTTGATTTACATAAAAGGTGAGAAGTTTCAAAGAATATTACCATTACACTGTTAATGGTGTGAAAAAAAAAAAAAAAGCAAATGGGGAGGGGACGGATGTTAAAAGTTACATGCACTAATAAGCAAATTCTTCTTAGTAACAAGGATAATTTTTTAAGCACACTAATTTAATTGGTTCAATTAAAAATTTTACTTTGAAATACAGTGCCTGAAGCAACATATTACATACTTTATAACACTTGAACTTTTTGAAGAAATTCTCCAGAAAGCACACATACTGAAAGAGTTGTAATAAACCAATAGTAAAGTTATCACAGTAAATGAGATTTCTTTTAAAAAACTTTGTATTAGGATCCTAACAGGTCCTGCTTATTGCTTATTCATTTTAAAGATTGAAACTGAAAAGGGTTTCTTTCGACCATGGCTGAACTCCCCTCAAATTATGTCATCTGTGTTCTCTGCACAGGATAGAACATAAAGTAATGAGCTCGAGTGTCCAGAATGGCTTGGCAGTCAGTTGTATCACTTCAGACTGAATCTATTGCCAACAGTATTTGAAAATGTAGGCAGTCCTGGGCTTACCAATGTCCAGTATAAATAAGACTGCTCGTGCAGAGGTAAAGAATCTCCCTGCCAAGTTAGGAGACACAGGAGATCCAGGTCTGATCCCTGGGTTGGGAAGCGCCCCTGCAGGAAGGCATGACAACCTGTTCCAGTATTCTAGCCTGGAGCCTCTCCATGGACAGAGGATCCTGGTGGGTTACAGTTCATGGGGTCGCAAGGAGTCAGACACAGCGGAGCGACCGAGCACACACATGCACGCACCTGATCAGACACAGTGCTTCTCCTTCTCAGACGCGCAGGTCCCTTCTCACCTGTCCTGCCGGAATTGCGGCCTCTCGCCTGGCTCTGCCGCTGCCTCCACTGGGATGAGCCCAAGGGACCGGCAGTCTAAGCAGGCACGTCCCTGGGCAGGGACGGGAACCCCAGCTCTAATCTGACTGAACCTCTGGGGAAGGCGTCCAGGTGTCTCTGCTACCCTATACACGCCTATCTTCTCCTCTCCTTGACTGTTTCCCGTGTAGAAAACTTACTGCCTTAAAAAACTACCTCACTCTTCCATATCAGTCTTAAAGTGTTATTCCTTAATATTCAGTAAAGCAGCAGACTAAAATACCAATACCCCAAAACCAACATAGAAATTGCCAGAAAAAAAATGACATTAACAAGAAGAGGCGGACATGAAGAAAGCTACAGAACTACACTAATAGAAATGGGTGAAAATTAATGTAAAGTCTACTAATATTGATCTGTAGGTTTAATGTAATTATTAATGTTTTCAAAATCCCAAAGAGAATAACTTTTAGAACTTGGAAGAAATGATTTGACAGCTCATCTCAAAGGGTAAACAGATAGGAATACTTGCAAACATTTTAGAGGTATAAAAGGTAAAATGTCAAGTATTTTGCACCCAACTGTTTATTCATACAATAAAACTAAAATAAGATCATATTGTAGCATAAAAATGAACAGAGATAGCAATGGTAACATAAAGTGAGGTAAAAAATGTAACTGTTAATCATAATTGTTTTGATAACTATGTCATAAATGCATGTCCAAAGAAAATTTATTATAAGAAGTTGTTTTGTTGTTCAGTGGCTAAGTCATATCTGACTCTTTGCGACCCTGTGGACTGGAGCCTGCTAGGCTCCTCTGCCCATGGCATTTCCCAGGCAAGGATACTGGAGTGGGTTGCCATTTCCTTCTCCAAGGGATCTTCCTGATCCTGGCATCAAACTTGTGTCTCCTGCATAGTCTCCTGCGCACAGTCTCCTGCCTGGGCAGGTGGATTCTTTACCTCTGAGCCACCAGGGGAGCCCAATTGTTAACAAAAATTTTTCAACTTAAATTCTCATCTGTTCTGTGTGTAAAATATACCAGATTGATAAAAGAATTAAAACTTGACAAATAGCAATCCTTCAAGTTCCATGGCTATGCAATTTATCAGCTATGTGGAAACCCTTTAAACTGGAAGCAATAGTTCAAAAGAGATCAACATACTTGACTTTATAAAAATAAAAGTAAACAGTGACCAATTAGTGTAGACTATTTCATTTAAAAAGATAAGGCAATTTCCTACTTGGTATATAAAGAACTAATGTCAATAAGTAAATGCATAAATAAATGGATAAATTGTTCATCAAGTCAAAACTGAAAACTGCTAGCAAATGCAGAAATATACCTTTAACTGTAAGTAAATATACCCTATCAATTTTGCAAAATCTTATTCTTAATCATGTTCCTAGCCTTTGACCCTGTGATACCATTTCAAGAAATCTAGCCATACGGGGGAGGGGGGGGGCAGGGGGAACCAAAGTATTTTTAAATTATGTGCCATGATGATAGCAAACTCAGTGATAAGGGTGACTAGGGATAAATTCACCATGTAAATTTCAAGCCTTATCATCGCTGCCACAGAGAAGACTGGTCACCAGAGCATTATCCATGATCTTCTTCCTGCTCACTTTTTTCTCTACATTTCCTCTGCATTCTCCTAACCTGTTTTCTCCATAGAAACCAATTTTTAATTTTATAAAAATTTTATAAAAATTGCCATATTTTCCACTCTTTATGCTTTCAAATTCAACTGCTTTCATAAGAAAAAGACTATAGTAATAGTTTAACTTTTACAAAACTTAAGACTGATTTGAGCTAAATAGGGCTCTAACAACTTGTCTATCTATCGATTTCTATGAAGCAATGTGTTCTAAATTTGTAATAATAGCTGTAATTTGCTGTGCCCTTAGCATTTGGCCATTTACTGGACTAAACTCTTTAAAAGCACTTTTCTTATTTACTTTGTACAATAACCCTTCACAGTAACCCTTTATCATTTAATCTTCATAATAACTCTATGAGATAGTATATTTATTATTCCTGTTTACAAGTAAGATACAAGAGCAGAGAGCAGTAATGAGAGGGTAAGCTAGTAGGTAGCAAGCCAGATTTGCACCCAGGTCTCTGACCCAAGACCTCCTGCCTACCAGGTTGAAAAAAGTGATTTCCTTGAAAATTTTTAGGACATTAGGAAAGCTTTTTCTAAGTATTATTTTCATGGCTATTATCTTTATAAAATCTATTGCAGGCTATCCAACAATAATATATGTATCTGCTTTGATATTACATTAGAATATAATGATTTAAGTTTTGCCTCTGTCAGATACTTTTCCTGATGGTTTAAGGATTTGAATTTTTTCATATTAATCAGATAACTATGTTGGGATGTGTACAGAAAATATATAATTGATCTAAAAGCAAATGTATATTCTTTTTAATAGTCTCCTTTTGTGAGTTATTAGTGAAATTTTCAATATGCATATTTGAGATAGTCTATGCCTACATAGATTTGTAGTTCCAAAATCCAAAAAGTATAGAAAATCATAATTCACTTGGTAGCAAAACCTGACCTGCACCAAGATGAAGATATTTGTCTTAGTCTGTTCAGGCTAACTACCATAGACTGGGTGGCTTATAAAAATAGAAATTTATTTCTCCAGTTCCAGAGGCCGAGGGCCTGAGATTAGGGTGCCAGTGTGGTCAAGTTCTAGTTAGAATCTTCTTCCAGATTGTAGACTGCCCACTTCTCATATCCTCATGGGGTGAAAACAGAATTAATCTCATGACTTTATTAACCACCGAAAACCATCATCTCCAATACCTTCATGCTGTAGATTATATTTAAGTTTGAGGGTGATATGAACATCCAGACCATAACAATACTTATGGCCTTTACTTATTCACATTATATGAAATTTCATGCACTTTTGTAGAGAAATATGAATCTATTTGAATATAGGGTGGTGCTACCCCAAGCAACACTGATGATATCGTAGAGTTACAAAATATACCGCATATGTATTTTTTAAATACGAAAAAAAAACTATCATCAGTTCTCATAACTCCCGAGTGTTTTGAATAAGGAATTACTGTGTGTGTTTGTACACACACATGCACACATATATAATCATACATATATATCCAGGATCATTTATTTAAATTTACAACATTGTAACCAACACAATCTTCATTTACCAAAAATTTGGTATGACATTCATGAAACATTTGTGAAACTAAACATTCTTAATACTTAAGGAAATTAAGTATCCTTAATACTCAAGGAAAATAAAAGGACATTTATAAAATCTGTTTAATTACAAATTATTTTGTTTTCCTTTACAGAGTAGCAAACCTGATAAAATGTTTTCTCTCAGTTCTGTGAAGTTTTATCTTGGAGTGAAAAAGAAGATGAAGCCTCCAACAAGGTAAAGTTTGGAAGGGCAGAGCTGTTGAAAAAGTTACAGGAAAACCTGTCCAAGGATTTAGGGATCAATGGCATTAGTCTGACTCTTTATCTAAAGCTGCCACGAACATGTGGCAGGGGACCTGGGTGGGTGGACATGGAGAGATGATGATGTTTCCACTCAAGTCAAGCTCCTGGGGAACTGCATCTCCTCTGTGTAGAATGAGAAATCCCCAGAAGGTCCTCAGGACTGGGAAGTACCTGGGTTTCTCCACATCCCATTCTCTGCTCAGGCACAGAATATTCCGTCAGTCAGTCACTCAGTCAGTCAGTCAGTCAGTCTACCCAGCAGAAGAAAAATGCTGCCCTCCATTCTTCTTGGCTTTTTTTCCCCCTGGTGGATAATTGCTTTACAATGTTGTGGGGGTTTCTGCCATATATCAACGTGAATCAGAAATACATATATATATTTCTTTTTGTATATTAACACATATATATATATTTCCTTTTCCCATGCTATGCCTCTAGGCTGTCACAGGGTTCCAGGCTGGCTCACTGTGTTACATAGCAGCTTCCCACTAGTTATCTCTTTTTCACATGATAGTGTATATATGTTAATATTACTTCCTCAATCTGTCTTTCCTTCCCCTGCTGTGTCCACCAGTCCGTTCTCTACATCTGTGTCTCCATTTCTTCTTCATAAACAGGTTCATCAATACTGTTTTTCTAGATTCCATACATATGCATTAATATATGATATTTGTTGCTTTTAGGACATCTTGGTCCTGGCTCTATAATTTGCCCTCTTTGTTTTACTGAACTTGGTAATAAACTCACAGCACATGGGTGGTAGAAAGTGCACTCTTTAAACATTATGCTTCTCACTAGCACTTGAACCAACCCAGCATTTGAGTTATACCATATTTATTCATCACGGATTACTTTGATTAGCTAATTAAAGTTTGTACTAATACTTTTAATATCGTGAAACATCATTTTAATGAACTGTATATGATTTCAGATTGTATTACTGAAAATGTACTCACTTTTGCCTCTGTGCTTAATTTCTTAGCCCAGCACATGTATCTGTGTTGTGACTGGTACATTCTTTCAAATTTCTTACAATATCAATAAGTCAGTATGTGTATTTTATTTTGGCCATTTTTCTAGACATCTGTCCTTACTCAGCCCAGAATATCCCCACTGCCTCATAACATCATGAGACCCTTTCCCCCTGTGTTCTTTCAACATATCTATAATTTTATAGCCAAATCCCTCAATATCCATCATTTATCTCTAGATGTATCATACCCAGTGAATCATCACTTGTGGATATCAATTCTGTTATGCTTTCCCATCATTAAATATTACCTCCTTAAAATTTCATTCTGTGTATTATCTTGTAAAATGGACCATTTTTAATATGTATATGTGTTTCTTTTTCCCCCCATATGATGCAGCTGGGGACTGACAGCATATTCTGAAAAACATCACTGGTAAGTTAACAGCTAACAGATTTTGGATTTGATATATTGATGATAACAACAGTAAATAATGTTATTATTTGACAGATAGATCTAGAGACAAGAGACATTTCTTTTAAGTGAAGTTAAACTCTTTTCTAAATACCTTGAGCCTAAAAAGAGAATATGAGATTTGCTTCAGGGTTTAGGTCTATTTAAGTCTCATGTATCTTATTTGCCAACACTTCAAGAAAAACTACACATGATTTCTTACTAGTTATTATATAAATGTGGAATCTCTGGTTTTAAGGGATAAGCAGACAAAATTCAGTTTTAAATTAAGGATAAGAACTCTCTAAAACTTAAAGAAAAGACCTTGGCTTCAAACCAGTTCTTTCTGTAGAGTACTTCTTTCCATTGATATCACCAGGATCTAGCCACTCTCAGAGACTGGACTAGATGTCTCCTTCTCCCCCATCTCCCTGTGTCTAATCCATACCAGATCTGCCTCTTAATTCTCTGATCCACCCATACCCTCTATCTTTGGAGCCTTCATCCAGCTGCCTGGATCAGTCCTGGAGTGCTCTTCATGCCTCTGACTTTGATTTTTGTTTCCAACACATTCTCCACCCAGAACTGAAGAGATTTTCTAAAATGTATCATATTTCTTTTCTGGTTTAACTCATCTGTGAATCCTAAAAAGTAGGGTCAAGTATAGGGTTGTTGGCACAGCATACTAAGTCCTTTAATATGTATCTCCCGTGACTTTCCCACATTTTTACTTAATGATAATATCAACAATCTGTTTTTAATTCACTATACATGCCTTGCTGCTTCATATCATATGTTTAATATCCGTGCTGTCTTCACTATACCTTCTTCCATAGTGTATGCTCCCCCTTCCCTCATCACTTTTATCTTCTTCCTGCTGATCTGGCAGACTCAGCTGTCACTTTTTATTCAAACCATAGCTGAAATGAGGGAGAAAGTCTTATCAGATAACTCTCCTTTCTAATCCATTTATTTCTTCTTTACATCTATGGTATTTTGTGCTGTTGGATCCATAACTAACATGATTTGTAGAGGGAACAGGTTTCTTGGACATGGCAATAGGAAGGGACACTGTCTTCATGAAAATCTAATGGCAGAAGCAAGGATTATTTTTAGAAGTTTCATTCTAACATTTTTCTAAATTATTAATAAGGGTATAAAAATAACTACTTTGAAATTCTAACATCAGTTACAAGATTTTCCACCTCATTCCCAATTGTGCTGTTTCTGTGTTTGTGTTCAACTTGACATTTTTTTTTCCCTCACTGTGTTATAGTTTGTTTACATTCCTGCCTTTCCTAATAGACTATGCTAACCTTGAAGGCAAGACCCCTGTTTTGTGTAGGTTTTCAGTAGGTTACTGAATCAGTGTTATTGGACATGAAGTGGTTTTTTTTCATTTAGCTCATTTTTCATGAGTCTTGTTGGGTATTAATGTTTATAATCACATGGACTGTGACTGTCTAAGAAATCTGCTCTTAAGAAAATATACATTTTTTTTTCTTAGGCTCAGTTTCTGGGTAAAAACATCTTTTACCATCATGTACCTGAAAAAACAAATGACACTGACCTTTCTGCATTTCCAAAAAATACCGCTTATCATTTTTTGGCAGTTATCAAAGCCTTTAGCTATATTTTGGTTAAACTAGCATATTTATACTACTGTTTTGATAGTAGAAGCCTGAAGCAACTTGTACTGAAATACTTTCATTTTTATTGCATTATGTCATTAATTGGGAGAAACCCAAAGAGATTTCTGATCACTTAATCACTTACTTGCCAAATAAATACACTGGAAAATTCCTTTGTCCTTCTGAATTATATATTTTATAAACCTTGTCTTACAGGCACCTGTGTTGTGAGAGTTCACAGACTCAAACGGAGTGGATGGCCAATATCTTTATTGCCCAGGTATGATACCTATTTCAACTATCTAGTGAAGTGTGACAACTGTTTATAGGAAATGTTAGTGTGGTGGTAGTTTTCAAAGAATTTTTAATGAGTCTTTTGTTTTCTCATTCATGATTTTTTAAATACACAAGGACCCAGATTTACCCACTACTCTATAAGATAGCGTTTACTCTTTGTCGAGGCATCTTTTTTCCCCAGCCCAGCGGCTCCTCAGCTTGGGGCGGCATCTGGCTTCAAGATGGTGGAATAAGAAAGCGGGGCTTGTCTGAGCTCTTGTCCTTCAGAGTCCCACTGGATCTGTGTTTAGAAAATGTGTTCTGTTCATTTTTCCCAATTTTATTAGAGGATAGCTGCTTTACAATGTACGCTAGTCTCCACTATAGCAAGTTAATCGCCGTATATACACTCTCCCCGTCGTGGGCTCCCTGCCCGTTCAGGCCCCACAGTGCGTTGAGTGGAGTCCCCTGTGTGGTCCACGGTGTTCTCATTAGTTATCTCTTCTACACACAGTCAACTCGTGCATATGCGGCAATCCCAATCTCTTAATTCCTCCCAAGCCGCTCCAACCCACCCTCATTTCCCCCTTGGCATCCATGTATTTCTTCTGTGTCTGCATCTCTATTTCTGCTTTACAAATAAGATCATCTATAAAAATAGATGATCTTATTTGCTCTTTTCCTTCCTGTTCTCCCCATGGGCTCCTGCTTTTTCTAAAACAAGGATGGGAACCTACCTTTCTTTAATACATACTGTGTAATTCATGTATTTTCCTCATGACAAATTGTGCATGACGCTGCTTATAGATAAGACAACAAAAGTTTACAAAAGGCTCCATGATTTGCTTAGGACCACACATTTAGTTAGTGGTTTAGCCCAGAGGCCAACACTTACCCTCAGTTTCCCATTTAGTCTCTTCCTTACTGGAGGACTCACTCCTGCAGTGAAGGATAAAACAGTCCCGTTAATAGGACTGGTTTCTTCCCCAGCCTTGTCTGGTCAGACTCCCAGCAGTGCTTCCCCAGCATTGAAATTCACTGGTAACGATTAAGCTGCCACTCTTTATTACCAAGGGTGTGCTTCCCTGTTTCTCTTACAAGTGAGAAGTTAATTCACCCTCAAATCTTGTCCTTATTTGTTTGGAAAACCATCTTCTCTGTTCATTTAATTTATTAACCTTCCCAATGGTTAATAAACACTGCTTTTCTCAGCCTGACTCTACTACTACCTGGGAATGCATTTCCAGAAAAAGTCCAGTGGCTAACTTTTTAGAGCCTTTTCTTTTTTTGCGACTGTTTTAAAAATTTAGATATTCAAGTCCTACTTTAAAGAAAGAAGGCTTGAAGTAACAGTAAAATTAGAACCACAGAGTCTAACACTGTTACAGTATCTGGTTATGGCACAACTGAATTGATGTTTTTGTGTTTATGACTGAAGTCATTAGATGCTGTAGTTGAAAATCAAGGTGTAAATAGCCAGGAAACCGAGGTTGCTCTCACCACCAACTTATTTCTCCTTGCCTCGCTGGCCCCAGAGACTCAGTCCAATTACATTTCTTCAGTTCATTCCACTTCTTAGGACTAAGGTAAACACAAAGGTCCTTTTGGATTTGAGGATTTAATGGTTCACCTCCATGGGGAAAGAGACAGGAATGTAGCAAACGTTAATATATATGTTAATACACACACACGAAACCCAACAGTGAACAATGAGTTCTTTCTCGTGCCCAGAATACTTTTCTAATATCCATCCCCACTCTCACCCCTGCCTCAACAAAAGTCTTCAGCTTACCTGTCACAGCCTCAGAAAAAACCTTCCCTGACCTTCAGACCAGTCAGACCTTAGAGCTGTAGGAACCCTCAGCATCCTGGACTTGAACATTGTAATACTAACTAAAAAGCATTTGTGTATTTAAGTTTTTTATGTCTGTCTTTCCTACTAAAATGTAAACCCCACGACAGGAAGGACTCAGTCTTATTAGAACTACATGTTTATCTGCATCACAGGATCCAGTACATCTTACAAAGTACATGCTCAAGTTATTCTCTCTACTAGCTTAGAATACTAATCAGATAAAATTTCAAATAGATATTAGTGTAGGGAAAGGAAAACCAGTGTGACTGACATAAGGAGGACATTAACTGAGAAGGAGTCTCAGGGGACACCTTTCTGAGTAGCTGACAGGTGTGCTGAGACCTGTGTGAAATAAGGAAGCAAAGTATGCAGGACAGTCAGAACATTCCAGGGGGTGGGGCCAGCAAGGACATAATCTTGACTTATTCCATGAACATCAGGAAAGCCTATCTTGGAGAGGACATAAGAGATGAGGAAGGCAGGGGACAGATGACGTAGACACAGTTTAGGAGTTTTAGTGGGAAACAAGGGAAAGATATAATCAGCTCTTATTACGGGAAAAAAGTAATTATGGTTCCTTTGCTGAGCTGCACTTTAGGGGTCAAAGATGGAAGCAGGAAGAACAGCCATGTGGAAGAAGACAGCAGCTCAGATTAGGTATCAGGGGGTCTGGTAAGACATATTCAGATTCAGGAATATTTGAAGGTGGAGCCAATAAGTCTTACAAATTGATCAGCTATACAGTTTGAGAGTAGTAGAAATGAAGAGTCCTAGTTGTTTGGCCTCTGGCAGCTGGTGAATGTAAGTGATATTATCAGAAGTACAGAAGAAGACAGAGTTCTATTTGGGCCACATGAAATTTGAGATGTGCATTGGACATACAAATGGATACGCTGAATAGCAGGTGTAGATGTATGGATCAAAAACTCAGGCAAAACTTTGGGGCTGAAATGTAAATTTGACAGAAGTCAGCATTTAGATTACATTAAATGCCATGAGAGGATCCAGTGAGATGAGAGAATATACAGAGAGAATTAGAATACAAAATTGGAGAGAGGAGGGCTGTGGCAAGAGAGGGAGGACAGACAAATAAGCCCTAGAACATCCCAAACTTTAAAGGTCAAACAGAAGAGAAAAATTGAGTAAAAGAAATGAGTAGCTTTGAGAAAGCAGGAAAACCAGGTGATAGGTGCAGAGAATTCTATCAAGGAATCAAAGGAGAGAATATTAAAGCAGCAGGGGCCTTGAGCAGATGTGAAGCAATGTGAGCAACTGCATGTGTTCATCACTGCAGAAAAAATTCATTATACAACAGAGTGTGTGACATATTTGTTCTCGGATTGTTGACTATATATTCTGACCCACTATGCAATTATAGATATGACTGGGGAAGAGTTATTTATAATCAGAGGAAATAGTTATTGGAAGGGAAGGAAGCCTTGTTTATATGGCTAGAGATGCAGAGAGATTGGTACCTCTCATGGTGGGAAGATGAAATTGAATGATTACTAATAATTTTTCAATTATATCAGTGAGGTCACCACATGTGAGTCTGGGAGGGATATTACATATACAGAGACAAAATAAAAGGTGAGAAATTACCTTCAGAGAGTGAGGAAGCTAGTTGTACTATAGAAGAATGTCCAGGGAGTGCTGAAGGCTCATTTGAAATTTTAGGATAAGTTTACAGTGAAATGAATCTCTAGACTGATCTATTCTTTTTTTGCCTCCATCAATTTGGAGGTACCCACAGAGTAAGTAGAATTGGGTTTTACTATGCTTGGGGTTTTATCAGGCAAGTGTGATAGGAGAAGCATCCTTATAAATCAAGGCTGGGCTGTGAGTATACTGATTGACCATGAAATCTAAGCCAGACTGTTAAAGAAGTGGGAAAAAACGTGAAAAGTAGAATGGATAGAAGGTCTGAAGAAGTCTAAGGTATATTCAGAGTGAATGAAGCTAAACTAAGTTATCTGGAAAGATGTCAAGGTCAGAAATTGAGAGGCAGAACCTTGTTAATGGCAGCATTATTCACCATAGGCATGGTATGGGAATAACCTATGGATGGATGAATGGATAAAGAAAATGTGTATTCATACATATATATAGTGGAATATTATTCATCCCTAAAGAAGGAAATCTATCATTTGGGACAATATGAATGAACCTGGAAGGCATTATGCTAAATGATTTAAGCCAGACAATTATTGCATGGAATCCAATATAAAAGTCAAACTCATAGAATATGATAGTGGTTGCCAGGGGATGTGTGTGGGGGGGTAGGGAGTAAGGTTGGTGAAAGGGTATATACTTTTGGATACATGATGAATAAAATCTGAGGATCTAATAGGTGACATGGTGAGTGCCATTCATAACACTGTATTATAAAATTTAAATTTTCTAAGAGAATAGAACTCAAATATTCTAACCAAAAAGGCAGTTGGGGGTGGGGGTAAATACATATGTGAGGTGATGAATGTTTTGGTTATCTCGATGGGGTGAATCCTTTCACAGTGTATGCATGTAGTCATCATGCCATACACTTTAAACATCTTTTATTTGTCAATTATACCTCAGTAAAGCCGTGGAGGAAAATTATAAAAAAAAGTTAGAGGCAGGAATGAAGATTTGAGGGTGTGATCACTGGTTATAATAATGAGATCCTCATCTGTATGCTCCATGAAATACGATTTTTTGAAGTCACTTATACATAACTATAAATGTTATCAGAACATATTACTTATGTCTTAAGATTTATGGTGGGAAAAATATTGCTACCTCTTGGATGAATCCAGTGAGAACTAATTAGCCAGTATTCACAGCATTATATATATATATATATCATGTCAGAAAAAATAATGTGTTTAGAAACTACATTTGCTCTTAGATTTCTTGCAATACCATTTAATACATATACTATACACCAGTCAGTAAAAGCCTAGGCCTTCATTCATAGGGTTACCTAATTCCTTCCCATCCGTTTTTTCCCAGCTTTACATGTTGGGAATGTCTTAATTCTGTAATATGAGTTGTTTTACCGAGCTTACCTAATTCCTTCCCATCCGTTTTTTCCCAGCTTTACATGTTGGGAATGTCCCAATTCTGTAATATGAGTTGTTTTACCGAGTTTAAGACTGTGATATAAAAATATGAAACTTTAACTTTCTGATTGAAATATTGCATAACGATTGCAGATTTGCTGAACCAAAGTAAGCACTCCACTGACACTCAAGGGTAGATTTGATGCCAAGGCAATAACTGCTAATGACAGGACATACACTGTAGGATCCTTACGGATGGGATGAGATAATATTTGTATATTGGTAAGCACAAAGTGTAGCAGAATGCCCTTCAATATAACTTAGCTGCTGTTTTATAGTGAGTATAAAGTTTGTTGAAATAGTTCTTTTGCTATAAAACACGACATTAAAATACTAATTGCAACATAAGAATATGACTCTCTTCAGTCTTGAGTAGAGGAAAAGAATGAGTAGGCATTTAGCTATATGGTTTACCAGATGGTTTTCATTTCATCATAACATCTGTAAACTTCTCATTGTGTGTGGTTGATATTTTGTATTTCTTTCATAGATTGCTGTCTGAAAATCGATTTGTTTCTCCCAGCTTCTAAAAATTAATCTACCCTGAGGAGTATAAAAAGTCTTTAAAAGATTTTTCTTTTGTATGTGTATCTTAAGGATTTATCATTCAAGAGCTTATATTTTTACCCATGGGTGTTTACCCCCTTTGCAAAATTACCTTTTTTCCAGTCATATCTATAATTGCTCACTGGCCAGAATATGTAGTAAACAATTTGAGCACAAATACGTCACACTCTCTATTGTACAATGATTTTCAGTAGAAATGTTTGTGTACAAGATAACATTTCTTAGGAATTCAATTAGGTGAAAAAGAAACATTTTTCAAAAGGTCATAAAATAAAGATAATTTTTCTGCTAGCCATGCCTTAGGTTGACTTGAGGGTATATATAATGTCAAATTATTTTGACACTGAAAGTTATCTTCAGTGGTAAGAGAAAATGAATGTGTAGTTATTTTGATTACAGGGCCTAGAAATGTAGGCAGGTATATTATTTTTCTTCTACAAAGAGATTTACTGGTTTCTGTAAATATTTCCCCCCTTTTGGTTTGATAAGTAGTACAGAAGGCATATTTCTGAAGCTTAGAAATTGAACTGAGACCTCAAAGCTCAGTTCACTTAAGAGTTTTACATCCTCAAGCGGTGCTACCATGAGAATCAACATCATAATTACAAACAACCTTCTCGTGAAAAGCAGATCACCTGACTTGGATAGATGGGAAAGGAGCCCAGTGACTATAAACTTGGTGGACCACATAATAAAGTCACATACCCACAGCAAGAAATTGTGTTTCCACAGCATGAAAATGATATATGGCCACCAGCTGGAAAGGAACGAAAACGTTCTATAACCAAAAATCCCAAAATTGGAGGTTTGCCTCTGATTCCCATCCAGCATGACAGAAATGCAACACAAGCCCGGAGAGAGATTGAGGTAAGGTTAGGATGTTTGTTTTTACATCAATCATGATAACATGTGTCTTCTTATGTCTTAATGTGGTTAAAGGCATCAGTTACCTCATTGGTTTCAAGAGCACAGGAATAATCACTTGGAAGAGTGCAGTAAAAATACTGAAACTGTAAAAATCACATCCATCAAGAAACTGTATGAATAATCCTATGCCACTCTTTGAGGTTTTATATTTTGCTAACTTAAAGTAATTTTAATAATGTTATTGATCACTCAATTAAATATGCATGATACCACTTAGCTTTTTTTATCCCTAAAGTGGCCAAGAATGTTAAATATGTATATAGAAGTTTCTGGTGGTAAAAAAATCAGTCTCAAATTAGCCTTACAAGTACACTTGTAACCTCCTTACAATGAGCCCAGAGCAGAATATGTCGGGAGCCATGGTAACAAGACTTAGCAGTAACACAATCAAATTCCAGTGGTCTGGGAACCCATGGGGTAGCTCAGTTAATTTCAGAAATGGCAGAATGACCCTTGAGCATCAATAAAGATTTAGCATCTTTCATGAAAACTATGTTTTCCTTCTCACTTTGAGGGGCAGGGTGAACATAAGTAGCATTGGTCTTGATTCAGACAAAGACACAGGCCGTACATCTCAAAACTCATTAGACAATTTGCAGCTAATGTGCATTTCAGTGCATTAAAAGAGTCCTTCAAAACAAAAAGAAAAGCACGCAAAAGACATTGTTGTTTCTTCTTAGAGCCCATATTTGGCATTAAGCTGTGTGAGTTTCTTGCCTTCCAAAGAATTTTTTAAGTTTTATTGCAATATAGCTGATTTACAAAGTTGTGTTAGTTTCAGTTATAACAGGAATAACTTTTGAGAGACAAAAGCGTTTTTCCATCACTTTCTTTCCTTAAACATTTATCCCACTGTACTATCCCTTTTCTCTAAAAGACAAAAGCTTTGAAAATAATGGTTTATTTACTTTGTTGCCTTCTGTGCTGATGTAATCAAAGGGAAGAATAAGACAGCAAGAACTCAGGAGCTTGTCCCTTCTGCCATTCTGCACTTAAAGGTTTTTCTTCCTAATAAACTGCTTTGCAGAACTGTGGATTCCTCAAATAATCTAGAATCTTCATTTTAAGAGTCAGGTTAGGGGACATAGAAATGTAGGGAATAGATATGCCCTGCTGTGACCCTAGCTTCTCCTGACATTGCCTCAGGATCAATTATGGAGCAAAGCAAAAGTACATTTTAGGATCAAAGTATGTTAACCAGTATCCAGTATAGAATTGAGATGATTGAATATACAGTTGTTTGTTACTTAACCTCAAATCCAGAATTTCAGAGGCAATTTTTTTTAACATTCTTGAGATCAAAAAACTGATGAACAAAAGCTATAACCAAATTGATTTCAAAGGTTTTGAAAACAATTTTATGAAATATTAACTTCCAGAAAATTTGTTAGTAAACTAAAGCAAGCTTTTTCGTAAGTATGGGAATTCAACAAATTTGACAAAGAAAAATTTTAAATGTTTGATGTTTTTCAGTGATAAATAATTTTTAATTGGTAATGTTTTATTTGGTAATGTTTTTCACTGAAAACCATTAAAGTTTAAAACAAGAAAAATAAAAATTGCAAGTTTTCACATGAACCAAATAAAGTATTTTTTATTGAGCTTATGTAACTATGTAGTATATTAATAAATGACAATATTACTAGCTAGCTTAATACAGTCTAAAGTCAGTCAATGGATATAGTCAAGAAAATTGCTTCTTAAATTGTTGACAGATTGGTGCATTTGGTGACTTCCCATTTCATGAGCTGTCTTGCTTTCAAGAGGTTCATTTAAAAGTTGTATGAGAATACCTCCTCCAAGCAAGGAAGGCTTCCCGGAGGCAGTAACTTCTAAAATTAATTGAGTAAATTAGTAGTGAGTTAGACGAAGTAGGTTGTTGACAAATCATACATGAAGAAGCGAACAGTGCTTAAGAACACACAAGCTGAATGATACCGATGGCCCTCCTACTTCTTATTGGGTACCTTCTTAACTTGTCTACATTGGATCAGCTTTTATCTGTAAGCTCCTAGGGATGATAAAAAGCCCTTACTTCATAGGGTAGTATTCTCTCTGCTGGGAGATGAACTCCATTTCAGATCCTCATTTCCATTCAAACAGTTTTCTCTGACACAAACTGGCATCCTCTGGACCAAGCCACCTCTTGCTTTCCTAATTTCATAGTTTATCAGTCTTTCTTTTTGAATTATTAATACCTTAAGGACAGTGAAGCACATAAAGGATGCCTTTTTTCCCCACGGTATCAATGCCCTTGGCTTTCCCCACAACACACATGGCACTCCACATACCATATCATCATACAAAGCACTCACTTTCACATTCTCTTGATTTTTATCAATTCACTTTACCACCCCTCCCCACCTTCATATAAGGTTATGTTATTTACTTTAATATCATAGTTTTACTTGAAATTTTAACATTATATGTATTAATGAATGTGTGTGCGCTAAATTGGTATGCTCAAGAATGAGATGGACTTCAGTTATACCAACAGGAAATAGTCAAGAGATATTGAGCAGTAAAGAAGTTAGTCACAGAAATGAGGTACCTGATAAATAGCACAATGGAAATTTCAATAAGGTAATATAGTTCAGTTCAGTTGCTCAGTTGTGTCCAACTCTTTGTGACCCCATGAACCGCAGCATGCCCGGTCTCCATGCCCATCACCAACTCCTGGAGTCCACCCAAACCCATGTCCATTGAGTCAGTGATGCCATACAACAATCTCATCTTCTGTCATCCCCTTCTCCTCCTGCCCCCAATCCTTCCCAGCATCCGGGCCTTTTCCAATGAGTCAGCTCTTCGCATCAGGTGGCCAAAGTGTTGGGAGTTTCAGCTTCAACATCAGTCCTTCCAATGAACACCCAGAACTGATCTCCTTTAGGATGGACTGGTTGGATCTCCTTGCAGTCCAAGGGACTCTCAAGAGTCTTCTCCAACACCACAGTTCAAAAGCATCAATTCT